TTTTTTTTTCCAAGGTGCACTAAACAAGGTGCAATTGACACTCAGTGCGGCTATTTCTAAGGTACTATGCGGAAAAAATGATATAACCAAACAGTTTTATGTGACCTTATAGTATGGTTCCTAAGAGAGCAACGTCAAATTCAATCACACTTTGTTGTATGCATTTTAGGCATTTTTATAGTAACAATTTTCTTTTTTTTGTTTCTCTTTTTTTTATATATAGATATAAATATATATTTTCTCTTTTTATAATTTTTATACCTTTTTTTTGTTTTTCCGGAAGTTTTAATCTTCGATAAATTTACTTTTGGTTGCTTTTGCGGACTGACCCAACGTTGCAGCAGGCTTGTGTGTGGCACTGCTGTTGTTGTTGGTTGTTATTGTAGTCGGGGGTTGCTTGCTGTAGCCGGGTGTTATGGCGGCGTTGCTACACCCCGCCGCTGTGACCGCTGCTGTGGCGGTTGTTGCTGCTGGGCGCGTTGTCGAACCCGCTGCTGTAGCGGTTGTTGCGGTCTTCGCGCGTTGTTGCCTTCGCGTGTGGTTGCTGGCGCGGTTGCAATAGCCGCCGACGCAGCGCGTTGCTATTGTAGCGCTCCGTGGTACCCGCTGCTGTGGCGGTTGTTGTTGCTGGGCGCGTTCTCGAACCCGCTGCTGTAGCGGTTGTTGCGGTCTTCGCGCGTTGCTGCCTTCGCGCGTGGTTGCTGGCGCGGTCGCAATAGCCGCCGATGTAGCGCGTTGTTGTTGTAGCGCTCCGTGGTACCCGCTGCTGTGGCGGCTGTTGTTGCTGGGCGCGTTGTCGAACCCGCTGCTGTAGCGGTTGTTGCGGTCTTCGCGCGTGGTTGCTGGCGCGGTTGCAATAGCCGCCGACGTAGCGCGTTGTTACGGTCGCGCTCCATGGTACCCGCTTCTGTGGCGGTTGTGGTTGCTGTGCGCGTTGCCGAACCCGCTGCTGTGGCGGTTGTTTCGCTGAGCGCGTTGTCGAACCCGCTGCTGTAGCGGTTGTTGCGGTCTTCGCGCGTTGTTGCCTTCGCGCGTGGTTGCTGGCGAGGTCACAATAGCCGCCGATGTAGCGCGTTGTTATTGTAGCGCTCCGTGGCACCCGCTGCTGTGGCGGTTGTTGTTGCTGGGCGCGTTGTCGAACCCGCTGCTGTAGCGGAATACGCACCTTTTACCTTGTTTATTCGCCCTAGCACTCCATTTTACATCGGTTACCCTACCCATACCCACAATTACCAAAAAAAAAAGAAACCTCCGATTTGACTCAATACATAGTGATTTCAAGCGGTTATGCCTATGTTTATATGGCGCGCTCGCTGAAACCATATTCGAAAGTAATGCTGGAATTCCACTATGCACTAAATGTCGAAAATGACCAAAAGACAAAGTCGAACCTTACAATTAATCGTGCCATTACATTAACAACCAAAAAATAATCATTATGTTCATTTCCACATGGCATACATGTGTTGTTATTTCAATGCCTAGTGGAAATTCGATTTTCTTTAATAATTACTTCGCGCGGTCAACCGAAAGAAGCGAACTATAATTCCAATTTTCTATAATAAAAATGCGAATTTCCACCGGGCTATATAAAGGAAACCAGCCTATCTTCACTTCGCATTAAATGAATGATGTGTTTATACGGGTTTTCCAACAGATGCGAGAAACAAAAAAAGAAAAACCCCAATTTGAAATAAATTCGAGTCAATACACTTTCGGAATCTCCGGGAGCATGAAATTTAGTTCATGCCTCGTTTTGGATCACAGTGCACTGGGTTAAGGTGCTTTATATGTTGGCATAAACAAGGTACGGTTCAGAGGCTTTTAACTCGCGTTGCAGTGCGGAATACGCACTCGCCAAGAGCCCTGACACGTACCCAGCGTGCTCCGTACCAAAGGGAAACTACTTATGGTAACACGAATTAATATACTGTATCACCAGGTAACTGAAAAAAACTTACCTAACTGTAGCAGTGGTAGTGGCTATGGGGTGCGCAGCAAGCGCGCTATTTCTCAGGCCAGTAGGGGAGTGGTGGTTGTGGCCCTACTTGCTTTGCCTTCGTCGCTGTTGCTTTGGCGTTCTGTATTTTCTTACACGCTGTGGTTGGTTTGGTCGTTGCTTTTCCTTTTTGCGTGCGTTCCTTCTAGATGTTGCTTATCTTTTAGGACACCTGCTTCCCATCTAGCGCTTGACAAACTAACGCAGTTGCACTCGCTCGCGACGATTGCACTCTCCCTAAAATTGGTTAAAGTTGCGAATTTTCTGCTCTTTGCGATGCAGAAAACTACTTCTCGCTTTTATCAGAGTTTTTTTTGTTACTATTTTCTAGAAAATAAATGGAGTAAATGAACACAACTAAACATGATTTATAAATTTTTTGTACATTTGTGTTGCACTAATTTAATATTTCCGCGAAATTTTATATTTAATCACACGCGGCACTTCTCACTTCTCACTTTTCCTTTTCTTTGAAACTGATGCGCAAATGGTCGCTATGGTGTTGCCATCGGATTTTTATACCCTTGCACTGCGGAAATATTCCATTTGGAAGAATAACG